TTACCCTACCTACTCTTTGTTTTCTATAATTCATACAACTCTCAAATATAATACATGTATTTTGCTTTTATGTTTGTTGGTTATTTTCTGCCTCTTCCACCAGAGAAGTTATCTTTTCTAGGGCAAAAATCCATGTTCAGGATCTATTATACCTGGCACACAGTTGCACACTTAGTGAATAATTGCTGAATAAATGAATGGCAAGGGCCTGTCTGAATCTGTTCACTTCCGGTGCTGCATAAAACACAACACATAAGAGACAAAGGGCTTTGTACAGGATGAACATAAACAGTGTCTTAGTCAACTTGGACTACTATTACAAATGCCATAGACTGGGTGGCTTTAACAACAAACATGTATTTCTCACAGTTACAGAGGCTGAGAAATTCAAATCCAAGATGCTGGCAGACTCAGTGCTTGTGAAGGCTCACATCAGATCTGAAGAAGGCTATACTCTTGCTAGATCCTCACATGGGGGGCGGGGGAGAGAGAGAGAGAGAGAGAGAGAGAGAGAGAGAGAGAGAGAGAGATATCTGATCTCTTCCTCTCCTTATTAGAATGCCAATTTTATCCAAATCCAGATACCTCCCAAAATATTACTTCTGAATGCCATCACATTTGGGATTAAAACATCAGCATATAAATTTGGAGGTGAGGGAAACACACATTCAGTCCACAGCCATCAGATGTATTATGTCATTTCGGGCATAAAAGTCTTCAAATACGAAGGGGGAAGTTAATTAGCACATATTTATTGAAAACTCAGTGTATGTTTCATACACTTATCTACATTTCAGGTGAAGGCAGAAGAAACATAGAATATGGTTCTTATCTCCAAGACAGCCTCTTGGTTGCAATTGGTTAATGAACAAGTCTGATTCATATTCATTAGTAGAAGAATTACAGCTGTTTATTTGACATTATAACATTGTTCACAAACTTGAATAAGACTAAAAATTACTGGAGGGCTTTGCCTCCATAGTTTCTGACCCAGAAGGTCAGGGTTGGACCAGAGAATTTGCAGTTCCAATAAGCTTCTAGGAGATCCGAATGTGGCTACACTACACTTTGAGGACCACTGCTCTATAATGGTGCTTCTCAATCCTGACTGCACATTAAAATCATCTGATTTTAAATTAAAACATATATGTTGATTATAAGGCACTAAATTAATAAATTCATATTTAGTTAGTGTGGGGTAGGACATAGCCAATTTGATAACGTCCATCCACCAAAGAATGAATATTCTATTATTATGTGAAGTTAGTTTTCATATTAAAACAACTGAGCATAGAAATACTACTCTAGATGAGAAAGTGTTTTCAAGGTGAACAAATGCATTCTATCTGTTAATTAATCCTTTATTTCAGTGTAATTTTAGACTTTAAGAGAATAAGTATGAGCATTATCTTCTTTTTTTTCAGCTTCCATCACTACTCTAATGTGTAATAGACAAGATTGGAAAGCAAAAGGCATTTATCCACAAATTCAGGTATACTCTCTTAGGAAATAAATCACTTTTTCAGCAAATGTCATTTTTATTTTTATTTTGAATAATAATTCCAAAACATACCAGGAAGACCAGCATCTCAAGATTACAGTTCTTCTGGATTATGCTGACATGCTCAAACATTTTACTTGACACAGAACTGCTCTCTGAAAGTGGCTGGGTCAGACAGGTCTTCCAGAGTAAGCATCAGGTTCAGGCAGAACAGCCCTCATCTAAGAACATGGAAACCCTTTTCAGGATTTATTTTATCTGGAAAACTTCACTTTTTGACAGAGGTTCTAACAGGATGAATCTTCAATGAGGCAGAAATCTGGATTACTTTTTCTCAAGATGCTCCTTAGCCCTATGCAAAGTTTTTCACATACACTCCAGGTACCATCATTGCATACCAAGAAAATTTCAGAATAAAAGCCATGTGTAGCTTGAAAAGTTCCTGTCACACCTTTTCCACAGGGCAATTGGTCCTACCAAAACACTATCTATTACATTACTAAGTGGGCCCATTGAAATTGTTATTTTTCTAATAACAAAAATCTTCTCTAGGAGGACCAACTATTCATCTACACCATCTAATCATAAAAGGGCTGGTGAATATATATACACACACAATCTCCCTTAACTCAAAAACTTCCTTAAGGAAAATTTGCTTTTTGAGCTTAAACTTTCCTCTCTAAACATCCTGAAGAGATCATGTTTTATTCATTTGATATTTACATTCACACTCCCAGTCTAGCATACCATGTGGAAAGCACTGATTGAATGTTGAATTAAATTCCTACCATTCATCCTATTTCTACTGACACAAAATATGTCCCTATGGTGTTTCTGCTTGTCTCCTTTGAGATACATAGAATAAATGTAATAACTCTCAAACATGAAAATTCTTCAAATATTTTATGGCATCTGTTTTGTTCCTGTTTTCTTAGTGTTCTTTACTCCAGACTAAACATCTCCAATTCCTCTATTTTTATATATCAGGGAATCAACAATCCATACCACCTTGCCACTTGGTCTTAGATCAGAGGTTCTTAACCTGAAGTCCATAGACATATAGGGAATTGATAGATGAATTTCAAGGAATGCTTGAAATTATATATAAAATTTATGTGTATGTCATCAAGCATTTTTACTGAGTAAATATCTATAGCATCTTACATACTTCCAAATGGGAGACTGTTTGTGATTTCTCAAAGATTAGTGTAAGTTATTTCAAACATTGTGGAAGACAGTATGGCAATTCCTCAAAGACCTAAAACTGGAAGTACCACTTGACCCAGCAATTCCCATTACTGGGTATACACCCGAAGGATTATAAATCACTCTACTATAAAGACATATGCACACATATATTTATTGTGGCATTGTTCACAATGGAAAAGACTTGGAACCAACACAAATGTCCATCAATGATAGACTGGATAAAGAAAGTGTGGCACATATACACCATGGAATACTACTATGCAGCCATTAAAAAGGATGAGCTCATGTTCTTTGCAGGGACATGGATGAAGCTGGAAGCCATCATTCTCAGCAAACGAACACAAGAACAGAAAACCAAACATTGCATGTTCTCACTCATAGGTGTGAGCAGAACAATGAGAACTCATGGACACAGGTAGGGGACCATCACACACCAGGGCCTGTTAGGGGATAGGAGGGCAAGGGGAGGGATAGCATTAGGAGAAATACCTAATGTCAATGATGGGTTGATAGGTGCAGCAAACCACCATGGCACATGTATACCTGTGTAACAAACCTGCGTATTCTGCACATGTACCTCAGAACTTAAAGTATAATAATAATTTTCAAAAATAGTGAGGATACATACCTTTTAGACTAGGTTCTACTACTTAGTAGCCCTGGAACTGTCTGAATTTCAGGGGTGCGATTTACAAAACAAGGCAAATTATACCTAACATAAGACTTCCTAGCTTTAACACTAATCTTGTGACCTTGGGTAAGTGATTATACTTCTGGACCTCAGCTTCCTTGACTGCAGAGGAAAGAAAAAGTTAGCTAGCTTTGGTCAGAACAATAAAATTAATACCAGTTTCATATGGCCCACTGATGTCACAATTTAAAGTTGAAAAAGAGTTCTGTGAAAATAGCTTTTCATCACCGTTGTTTTTCTGATTGAGGTCCATGTTTAAATATCTACCTATACAGCAGCCTTGTATTGCAGGTTTAGTGCCCAAAGTATCTTTGTTTCCTCAAATCATGTGTGATATGCTAATAACTATCCATTAAAATAAAAGATTTTCTTCTGGAAAGGTTAAACAGTTTGTCACTGTTGATCTTCAAATGTGGTCCCCAAATTCATACATAAAATTGCAGTATAATCTGAGAGAGTACAAAGGAGCTGGTATGTACAGAGGTGCAAAGCCTTTAGTCAAGACAAATTTTTCTATTAATGCAAATCTAGCTTCTAGGTGCCTCTATCATTTGATGTTTTGAGTTAGCCCTAAATTTATTTGTCAATAACATCACTAAGTCTTTCACCATCATACATACTGACACATGCATATACATACACGCATATGCTTGTTATCAAGCTGGTTTCCACTAATACTTTTGTATTTCTTTTAGTGAGAAAAATTTTATATTTGTACCTGTCAAAATCAATCATGTTGGTGCTTGAACCCATCATAGTCATCAACATTTTCTTGCATCTTCCTTTTTTTTTTTTTTTTTTGGAGACAGACTTTCTCTCTGTCACCCCAGCTGGAGTGCAATAGCGTGATCTTGACTCACTGAAAATCCCACCTCCCTTCAAGGGATTATCCTGCCTCAACCTCCAGAGTAGCTGGGATTACAGGCTATACGCACGTGCCACCGTGACTGGCTTAATTTTTGTATTGTTAGTAGATATAGGGTTTTGCCATGTTGACCAGATTGGTCTTGAACCCCTGACCTCAAGTGATCCACCCACCTTGGCCTCCCAGTCTTGCATCTTATATCTTACATTAATTAATCTTCAGGTTTCCAATCATCTACCAATGTAATGACCATGATTTCTCTCTCATCTTCAAAGGTGTTGGTAAAAATATAAACAGTTCTATACTGCTTCATAAGAGGCCTCCCTTCAGGTGGCATGAATCTACTAATCCATACTCTTTGGGGGTTTATCAGTCAGGTTCACTGGTGTGTCATACAATGCATATCTCCCCAATGTTTTAGAACAGGTACCATGAAAGATTGTAATACCTAAATGAAATTAGAGCTTATGACATACGTTTTAAACCATATAAAATTTGGCTGTCAACACAAAAACTAAGGTTAGTTTGGATAAAACTATATTTAAATGCTATAATCAAATAACATACAGTTGTCAACTTTTCTAAATTTTGGTTATTCTAGAATATTAACAGTTTCAGATTAATCATTGAAAGGAAATCATCAATGCAAAGCAATACATTAATCCGTAAGAACTACGCTCTTAGAAGTGAGTACTATAGAATACTCTAAAGTTTATTGTCTTTTAAAGTGGAATATCTACAGAAATTAGTTTTTAAAGCAATACACCTTCTCCTCTATGACATGGAAACATGCATTTTAAGAAGAAAGGAAAATTTACCTACTTGGTGCAATGAGAGCTTGCTGTGATTCTTTCAGTTGCAGATCGAAGTCATTTTCTGTAAAGAAAAAAAACTGCAACATATAATTCATACAAAATGATAAAAAATCCAAAATTTTATAAATTTCTCAAAAGAAACTTATTTTCCTTGTTGCATGATGCATGACTAGAATAAAAAATGATACAGAAAGAAGCACTTATGAAATGATCAAATCAAATTTTTAAATTATTAAATTTAATATCACAGATCGTGTTATAAAACTTCAAGAGTGATAATATATAATTCATAGATGTCTTATTAATTTTAATAGATAAAGTTTGACATTGATTTTTTTGTGTAAACTGACAACTAATTTATCTATAAATGCCAATAATTTCCTAGAGCTATAAATAAGAGAGTAGTTTGAATTTAAGGGGTGGTTCAAGCAAAATAAAATTAATTAAATTATTCAATAAATAAGAAATATGAAGCAAAATGGGACACATCATTTAAAATCTCTGTTTACTAAAAATAAATATGTTACATGAAGAAAATTTCTTGCAATTTTAGAATTGTAAAAGGACACAAAAACCAAAGTTTTAAGGAATAAAATAAACTTATTGAATACTTTTTAACTAAATTTTTATGGTTTGTAAAACATGCATATAATCAAAATACCTTTAATTGCTGTAGAAAAGAGAACACACAATACTTTTAAAAAAAACACCTTGGTTTTGCATAGTATATAATTTTATTTGCTGAGATACAAACCATACATCAGAGTGAAAGTGTTGTCATCTAGGCCCTTAACAAAAGGGAGAGTTGGAGGTACTAAGATAACAAAATAAACTATGACAACCTAATTACATAGAATATGCTTGACATAGTTTTAGTCTGAGAAATTACTTGGACTGTTAGGAAAAGCCAAGGACATGGTTTTAGATAAAATAACACCCTTAGGGACATTCTTCTCAAGTCACATCCATCAATATGTGACTGCCTGCTTGCATGTTCCCAAACACATGTGTCCTGACACCTGAAGAATGGTTAAAATATCTCCCTTACCAGGGAATCCCTCCCCTCTTCCTATTCTTTTGTCCACAGCTGCCAGAGGTGCTATATGTTTATTGTTGTTGAATCCTGTTACTAAATCAAGGGTGGAAAAGAGTGGTTCTCTGTAGGTTTTGAAATCTGAGTTCATTGGTTTAATTTATTCATGGTAAATGAATTTTTTTTCTTCTTTTTTTTTTGGTCTTAAAAAGTGTCTCTATTTGCTGTATTTTAAATATACCTCAAGGCGATGGAGGTGGGAGTAACATGAAACAAGACTGTCAAAATATTGATAATTATTGACATTGAGTAACGGGTATGAGGGATACTCTGATACTTACATGTATTTGAAAATACTTATAAAAGGTGAAAATAAAATAAATACACCACAAAAAAAGTGAGAAAATGTGGAGAAAAAAGAGGTAACATATCCTATTGCATGTTTGAAATGTGGAAAAAAAAGAGGTAACATATCCTTTGCATAAAAGATGGGAATGAACCTTCTGCTTTTGTTCTCACCAGTTTTTATCTCCTTTGGAGATCAGAAACGGCAAAAAAGACTCTGGAGGACATGCGTGAATAACCTGTGTAGTGGGAATTAGAGGTTTGCATTGCCCCTTAGCAGTAGCATGCTTATATAAGTAGTTTGTTGTGCATCTGTACAATAGCATACTACTTAGAAATAAAGAAGGAACACTGTTACACTCAATAGCATGAATAAATAATATGTGATATTTATAACAGATATAAAAATGAGAAAAAGAAGATGGGCACACCAAAATACATACTGTGTAATTTTATATACATGAGGCTCAAGAAATGGCAGAATGACTGTAATAGGTAAGAAAGAATCATGGTTACCATGAGTGAGCAGCATATTCACTGAGATGGGGCAAGAGATACCCTTTTGCAATGTCTTATATCTTAATCTGTCTAGTGGTCACCAGGGTGTGTATACATATAGAAGCTCCTTAAGCTGTACTTTACTATATCATACTTTAATGAAACAGGTTTCTAAAATAAATATTATTAAAACAATATGGTGATATTTTAATATTTAAAATATTATATAAATGTAGGTAGATATAAATCTGCTATTTTATAATTGCTTTTGGATGTATATAGCTGTTTAAAGTAAGAGTGTCCAATATTTTGTCTTCCCTGGGCCACACTGGAAGAAAAATTGTCTCGGGTCACACATAAAATACACTAAAAGTACCGACAGCTGATAAGCTACAAAGAAAAAAAAAAGCAGGCAAAAAAATTTTTATAATGTTTTAAGAAGGTTTACATATTTGTTGAGCCACATTCAAAGCTGTCCTAGGTCTCATGCAGCCCATGGGCGGCAGGTTGGACAAGCTTAGTGTAAGGTTTTTCTGTTTTGTTTAAGCTTCTCTTGTTACCTACCTACTTAGTTTAACTACTATTTGAAACATTTTATATCTTATTTCTGGTTTCTCATTCATGTCCCAAATGTTGTCTGTTTCTTATTTTCCATTTTACTTTTAATTTAAGCTCTCTTTTTTTATATTTTGTTACCTAACTTAAATATCTTCCTTGACACTTCTTAATTTGCATTTATCCAAAATTCCACATCTGTTCAGTTCTAAAAATTTTATGGAGATTCTTGGTTAAGATTTCAGAAACAGAATTTTAAAATTCGTTCAAAGCCCTCTATTTACAATAGAGGTTTAATTTTTAGATGACACAAAAGCCTGTTACACGGCCTTTGGGTTTCTAGAAATCATTTTTTTTAATGATTGGGAAACCCATATCTAATAATTAAGAAACAGTCTATAGCATATCTTATATCCTTAAAAAGAAAATTAACAAAACATTTTTATATAATTTTTAAGAATACTGGCATTTTAAAATTTATCTTGTAGTAAACAATTTTCCTGGCTGGTGCATAATTTCTTCATACATATGAGATGCAGATAATAAGCAAGAAAGCAAGGGGAGTGGAATTTCTGCTGGAGAACCCTATAATGCACAGTACATTTCCCTCTCCCCTCCAATAGCTTTCAGCTTTCACATAGGGAGAAAACATATATAGAAGAAAGACAGGATCCAACCATATGCTGACACTGTTGAAACACTGTGCTGACATTTTGGTAAGAAACTAAGACTTCACCTCTCAGTTTTACCCTCCCAGAAGGAGAAGTTATTTTCTTTCCTTCTGAAATTCATGTTTCCAAGAAGCTGTAGTGTTACTTGAAATTAAAAAAAAAAAACCAATCAAGCTATAATTTTCATATGCCATAATGCATATGTATATTTTTGTGATGCCAATCTATCCCAAATGACGTAGAATTACTGTGTGGGATATATGTCATGCACATGTCAAAATGGAACCTCTGTCTGGAGAAGTACATACTACCTTTCTAAAAATAATTACCTAAGAAGCACATTTCTTCTAATGTTTAAAATCTCATGACATATTCATCCAACCTTGAAATTTCTTGTTTATGAAATTTTTGATGCAATAGGGGAAGTGGGAAACTGGAAAGATATTTTTATTTTATTATATTGTAATATATATTCTATTCTATTATATTGTAAGATATATTATATTATATTCATTCCCATCATAAAAGAGCAAAAGGAATTTTGAGTATTTGTGATAATGAAAGAGGTCAGATACTAGTGCTTAAAAATAACTTTCACTATGACAAGTACAATAGTGGGATGTAATAATATGGAATATTCATTTCCCACAATCATGGAAACAAAAATTTTTGGGTGATGCCAACTATTCTCGTGTTGGAAGGTCAAGAATTATGTGATACTTTCAAAATGTATAACATCTAAGAACTGAGATTGGTGAACCTAAAACTTTATAGAAATTGTTATGATCACTTTTGACATGTGTCCTATTTATTCATTATATTGAACAATTCACGCACTGTGGATTCTAAACCGTATTCTCCCACTACTATATTTGTCTGAAAATATTCCAGCATAGGTGAAATAGATTTTTTATTAAGTACTACAAACTTTAAAAGTAAAAATAGTTTTAGTTATGCAGAATTACTTACATTCACAATATCTAGATATCTATATTCCTGTTGAATATGATACCTAGATACTTAGATCTCTTAAGTTTTATTTTTCTGGATCTCTGTTAACTGATCTTGTCAACAAGATTTGCATTGGAGGGACGATTTTGAAAACATATAAGCATTCCATCAGTTTTAATAGAGCAACTCCCTGAGTTATTGGCATCTTTTAATTAAAAATCGGTATATTTAAACAAAAGTAGACTTCGATAATAAAAGGTATTAGTGCTGCTTTTTCCTCTCTACCACTAACACAGGGTGTTTAGGTTTAGCTTGATGAGTGATATAAAGATTAAAGTGGGATTGATCAAACCTCTCATTCTGAATAAAGTTAAGTGGGTGTTAACTTTTTAATTTAATTTAATTTTTGAAATCTCAGTCACCATGTCAACATCAGTAAAGAGCTGTCTCACTAATTATGTCACTTTGGATAACTTCTGAAAGCAAAAAGGATATTAAAACAAATATGATATTTCTAAAAACATTTGTTTTCAAACATTAAAAATAAAGTTTAAAAATCTCAAAATATAACAGACAGAGAGCCAAACCATGAGCAAACTCCCATTCACAATTGCTACAAAGAGAATAAAATATCTAGGAACACAATTATCAAAGGATATAAAGGACCTCTTCAAGGAGAACTACAAACCACTTCTCAAGGAAATGAGAGAGGACACAAACAGATGGAGAAACATTTGATGCTCATGGTTAGGAAGAATCAATATCATGAAAATGACCATACTGCCCAAAGTAATTTATAGATTCAATGCTATCCCCATCAAGCTACCTATGACCTTCTTCACAGAACTGGAAAAAAACCACCTGAAACTTCATATGGAACCAAAAGAGAGCCCACATAGCCAGGACCATCCTAGATAAAAAGAACAAAGCCTGGGGCATCACACTACCTGATTTCAAACTATACTACAAGGCTACAGTAATCAAAACAGCATGGTACTGGTATCAAAA